GAAATCTTTTGCTTCACGTTGCCCATACAGGGAATTTAAGATAAGCACCTTAACAAATAGGCAATTTTAAGACTTCAATACCTGTTTCACATGTGAGTTGTGTGTCACTGCTCAGCCATTCCTGCATGGGAACAGGTTTCTATGAAGATAAGACATGAATTTACAGTCTACCAGCTAAGCAATTGGCAGTGACTGTTGGGGTGTATGCTCACAAAGCAATTCACTTCAGCATGAATCTAACAAGATGGACCACTTTACCTCTTGGGCCATACATTCAGACCTCTGCACCTCATCTTATCCCAGTGATGCATCTCATCCACAGCGTAGTATCTACTGACTATCCTAAAATACTCGTTTATGGACTGTTCTCTGTGCACTCAGTTTGCTGATACATGGCAAATGGTGCTCACAAACAAATTACCTGCTGCCCTCTAATAGAAACCGGTGATGATCCAGGTCATCTAAGAAAAACTGTTACCGTTTCTGAAAGAATGATTAGTTGAAAAACAATACTAAAGACACAGCGTGTGTTATTACTAAATCTATTCTCTTATCATTAGGGGAGTCAACTTTCCTGTTCTATGCTAATCAGATTAGTTTGCAGAAGCTCAGAAAGAGGAACATGAACCAAGTGTATCTGGAGCATACCAGGGACAGAGTTCCGAGTACTCATGGCCTGTGAAATTTTGGAATCCCCTTAAACCGGTCATTCAAGTTAGGTCAAGATACATGGGTTTAATCCTTCCATTCCCTCTGGCAAAGTACAAAGCACATTGTCAAGGAGCTTTCAACTGAGGCCAAATCAGCAAGTTTGTCTTGTTCTGCTAATGCAGTAACGCTGATGATCTGTGCCTCCTGACACAAGGGAAGGCTTCCCCTCACATATGATTCTGCTCCCCATTCAAAGCCAGGGTATTTCAGTGCTATAAAGATGAAATTTAGATTCTTGAACCTTTTCTTAACAGGCGCTATGGGTATAAAAACATCTCATCAATTCACTGCACCAACTTATGCTATAGCAAGTAATGTCCTCTGGGACAAAATAACTTCCTCTGACCTGTAATTACTAGAATGACACCTGCCAGAGTAAGTCCACTCCTGACTCACACCTCTGTGATTACCAGTACCTGAAGTTTGCAAGCTCACTGAAGAAAACATTGCTTACCCTAGGTTAAACCCAGAATTAAAGTCTCACCATGGTGTAAGCATAGTGCACTCATTGCGATTGACTGTCTTGCAACATGCTGTGGAACCAGCAGGCAAAAATAAGACACATCTGACCCATATTGCTTTTCTTTGGAGGAAAGATCCCTCTCCTCTACCAGCTATAGAATACTTCCCAAGAAAGCTCCAGAAGGAAAGATCTGACTCTACCTGCAAATTCCCCTCTATCTTACCTAGAAATAAAAGATTGAATAGGACCAAGACCTCAATTTCCTTTCACAAGTCAAAATAGTTATGGATCGAGATCAGACTCTGTGCTGAGCATGTAGATGACACAAGGCACATGTATCTGTTATCACAGACCCCCCCCAGGAGAGAGAAAGGGAGACACACAAACCTGACCATCTATAATTTCCCTGCCCAGTGACAATGTTGGGAGTACAGTTTGCAGCTCACTATTACACCATGCAAACATCTCCACAATGATGCAGAGATCTTTAACGTGCATTTGAAGGGTTCTAGTGGAGGTGCTCTAAGTGACAGGAATTCAGAGCAGGAAAGCAAACACCACTGATGCAAGCAAATACCATCATTAAAAAAACTTATTTAGAGCATTCAGCTGTGTATGCAAGTTTCAATGAGTCGTCAACAGAAGACATGCTTCAAAAAAGGAATTTTCAACTAGAGTGGCCTCAGCACAGTGACCATCCCCACATCATCACAATCCCAGCAGACCAGAAAGGGCAGGACATTAACCCAAGCAATGATCATTCCTTCCTAGCAGTACCTTTTGGTTGTGGTCAATTGATCCTAAGGGTCTGCACTGTGAGCTCAACTAAGTACCCTCTGGCCACTTGGTGCATGTCAAGGCATCAAAAAAAGGTGTCTTTGTTTTCTCTCTGCTAGAGCTGGGTTGAAGACAGCAGTCAAATTCGAGCAGTTAGTTTTTATTCCGTAGATCTACAGAACAGTCCTTTCCCTAGGGTCATAGTGTACATGAAAAGGATTTCCCAGTCACTCAGAACATGACCTTTGTAAGTTCTTTTCTGTTTTTAAACCTGTAGAAAGTAAACAATCACGTCAGGGAAAAATCAAAAGCGATGCATGTGGCTGATCATATTTCTATCAAACACTAGGAATCAAACACTTTTGCTTCGAAGCATTCATCCATAAACACGTCTTCCACAACTGCACAAAGGCACTAAGGAGATCCAACTGTGGAAGAGCCGAGTACTTCCCTAGTTAGAACTCCCCCTTCATCATTTGTATCAAAGACCATCTTGAAAAAATATTGACAATTGCCTACCATTACAGTAGGATGAATTCAAGTATTTCGACTTCTCAAATCAAGAAATGAAATTAATCTAAAATATTTTAATGTAACAAGTTTGGCTATAGAACCAGTGCAACATGAAGACGACACCCATTGTATAACCAACTTTACTGCTTAATCTTAACAGAGTAAGCTACAGATGCAATGGATTTACCACAAGTTATTTGGTTAACTTAAATACTGCAGTTAGGATCATGCTGTTGGTAATTGTGGCTTTACAGGACCAATGCTCAAGTTGGCTGAGTTAATTTAATGTAAGTAAAAGTTTACAGAGAAAAAAAATGATTTAGTATCGTATGCTGTATTCCGTTCCATGCTCAGTCACATTGAGAATGTCTTCAACAGATAAAACAGTATTTCAGCATTATGTTAATAATGCCAAAACATACAGGATTTTTAATGCCAAATTTACAACATAATACAATGCTTAACAGATTTCTCAGGTATGGTGGCCAAGTGAGAATGCTACACAGCACTGAGGAGTATCCGAGCACTACTCATGGCACACAAAGTGAACCATGCCGACAGGAATGCGTTACCTTTACTGTTCAAGAAGTTTGTGTCCCAAACATAACACAATGTAAAATGAATGTTGAACTCTTGCCTCAGACATGAAGCAAAAGCACACGTTATTTACAAACTTGAACCAGTAAAACCACCTTAAGAACAGAAAAAGATTGTGATAATTTGACAAAGACAACAGAGCTTCATTACTGTATTATATGAGCTAGAATGGTAACAAAGTTGTAAACAAACTTTAACCAAATCAGGTTAGTGCATCTATTCTTTACTCAGGAATATCATGATTTCAGTAAACAGTGATTATTTTAAAGCTAAGGACGCTATCAGAGCTTTATTTTTGTTTAAAGCCAAAACTGATAGAAAATCTGGAAGCTGGCAAATCATTTTTGTTCCCTAAGAGCCTTCATTTATTTCTCCACTGTGTATTTCAGCAAGTTTTCAAAACCCCTGTTTGTATCTAATTCTGCTTCAACTTAAGCAACTGGTAGCAAAGTTGAAGCACTATCAACACTTGAAAAATCCCTACTGAGTGGTTTGATTTTCCACTACTGGGGATGAGATTAGATTGCTGGCATTGTTCTACATAGAAAACAAAACACCAAACATTCATTTTTAATTTTAAAAGAAAAGCTTCCTCAAAATTAAACAGTCCTTGCAAATACGCAAAGAAACATACAGGTAAATCAGATCTGAATCTGTCAAACACAGCAGTGTCCTTCTCATTCCTTCTCCCCGCCACCCTCCACACTAGCGGCATAGCTGAAGTGGCTGATGTGAACCTGATAGAATTAAATTCATTTACATGAAGCCTGGGTATAAACTAAAAAGAAACTTTGTCCCTGCCGCACCTATTTTTTGTCTTTTTCCTGCATTTTATAATGAACTCATGCAAGCATAAGGGGGTTGTGTTGGGTGTCTGTGTGTTGTTTTTAAACAGGCGTAAGAGTTGTGCAAGACAAAACTGAACAAAGTTTTGTTTCACTTCAGACAGATTTTATATTACCAACTCATTTCAGAACTAAAGGTATTGAAAATAAATCCATAGTAATAACAAAAAAAACCCCAAACAACAAACCCTGTAGTCAAACTGCTTTTTCAAGTATACGTCTCCCCTCATGAAAGAATTGCATTAGCCATACCATTGATTAAAACCCATGTCACAATCATTAGGATTTAGACCATCAGTCTAAACTGGAACTGGGCTCAGCTGGATCTCCATCTGAGTCTACACAAGGCTGGAAGCAGGAGGCTGCATTACACCACTCTTCAGGTCCCTGATTCTGACTATACCCACCATCACACCCCCTTCACATCCCCAAAACAGGAGAAGTGGCACAGGAACCACAAAGTGATCTTGGACAGGTATCATTGTTCAAAGATCAACCAGGTGTGCATCTGGTTTGTGCTGACAAAGATGCACATTGCAGACCTACTAGACTGGAGAATTTTGTCCACAATGTCTCTACATAGCACAGCATAAAACATATCTTAGTATTTCATTCAATCTGGAATTCACATCTCGATCTATTGCAATTATGGAAGCCAATGAAAAGTCAATGAGAGGGGTTCTAGAAGAGTTGGTCCCAGCATCAAACACAAATATATATGAAAAATAAAAGGGGACAAACTTTCAAGTCACTATTAGTGATGGTGACAGGTTCAACTTTTCTCCCTTCCTCATTAAATACAAGTCCCATTAATGCAAGAGAAAAATGCAACTTTGCAGCATGTTTGTTCACATCAAGTTTTGACTCAAGAGCACATTTTGCAGTAACAAAATATGGTCTCTAAAGTTGCAAAGTGCACAAGCTGAAGGCACAGAGTACAAACACATAGGAAAATAGATTTCAAAATACCAAGTAACAAAAAAAAAATTAAAAGAGGAAAGAAAAATCTGGAATTTTAAACTCCCTGACAGAAGATACATTTACATGGGACCAACTCTTAAACAGTGACCATTTTTAAACTAACAAACAAATACTGCAAAATAATGAAACTTTATTCTTATTAAGTAAAAGCTCCAGAAAATACCTTAAAGTTTAAAAACTAATACACTGATGTGTTAACTAGTTTTAAGAATGTCCTTAATATTAAGAAAAGAGTGCAAAAAAGAGATTCTTCCATTCTAACACTTTTGGAAGCTGCTGATTTCGCTGCCCATTTCCACTTTGAAAGGATTGTTTTTCAAGGTGCATTCCTCACAGAAAAATCACAGAACATGAACTTGTCGATAGGCTAGACCAAGGAAACATGTCTTTCAAAGTCATCCCAATTGTAGCAGCAACTGACATTTTATTATATAAAGAAGAAAGTCCAAAACTCTTCTTTGAGGCATAGTTCGTGTCAGAGCTCGAGTATCAGCAGTTGCCAAAGGAGGCTCCGGATACCACCTGCGCTCCTCCAGTGTCTGTTCTGGCTAGGAATAGAGGCTGATCCAGTATATTCACTATCTGTACCCCCTGGAGCTTGCACAAGTTGATGAGCCATCTGAAATTATACAAAAAGTTCAAGAAATTCTCTTGTATTAGAACTTCCACCTTATGTCCTTCACCCCCCTTCTTCCAACAGCCCAAAACCCAGCACTGACTGCAAAACATCGACAGTGTAAACAGAAGCTGATATAACGTATAAACATCCATGCATTCATTTCAGGTTGTAAAAGTAGTTCATCATAAAACTGTATGACATTTTATGCTAGGAAATAAAGCAAACAGCTGAAGGCACAGAAGGAAATTTGGTGGAAAGAATGCAATAAAATCAACTGAGGGTAACTAGAGATATTAATCCCCAGTCTCCAAGGCTATTTAATGACAAGCAGGACCTTGCACTTCAATCCCAACCTGGAATGTACATGACTTGATCCTCCCCTGGACAAGTATTTAGTCATCACAAATGATGGGACTTGCACTACACCCAGATAGCTACATGTGGAGATGCAGTCTCCGACACCTTGTCACCCCTGAGATGCCAGAAGTCCACCACTAGGTAGGTGTCCAACCAGTCAGGGACTGCAGCACACTGGAGGGCAGGGTTAGATGCATACTTACTGTAAGTTAACTCTTCTCCAGCTCTCTTGCGTGACTGGTCACCTCTAGGAAAGAAGGGGAAGAAAGGTATTTTCATGATAACACGAACTAATTGAAGATGTTCCTACTTGTAGCAGGGAGGGGGAGTTGGATTAAACCTTTGAAGGTTCCTACCAACCCAAACCATCCTATGATTTTTAAAAAGGGAAATTAGTATGAAATATCTCAGCACAACCATCAAATTTTACAGGCTTCAGAACCAAAATGCAAACATAGCAATAATACATGACAACAGGATTCTCAATTTACTAGAACAGAAGCATGAGCTATATTTTTTGGATTTAATTAGTTCATCCTTCTGTTAAAAGTATGTTTGACTCTATAGGATAATTTTGTACAAAATTAAGATGAGGAAAATTGCTTCTATGTAATGTGGTCTTAAGTCACTCCTCAACTGAACTTTACAGAGCTATGTGAAAAACTCTGCATCTATCACTATAAAAAGGTAAGATGCTCCTGAAAACCCAACAGACTCTACGTAAGTCTGAGCTGACAGCATTCCCTCTTCAAGGGGAAGATTTAAATAAGTAACTATAAAGTTGTATAAACACTGGTTGACCTTACTGGTCCTGAAAACCCAAAGTCAAATTCCCATCTGTCCTGGGTTCAGCTGTAGCAGTCATTTTTTCTCCTTCCCAGTAGCTGGTGCAGGGCTGTGTTTTTGACTTTCAGCCTGGGAACAACGCTGATAACACCGATGTTTTTAGTTGTTGCTCAGTAGGTTTTACTCTGACCAAGGACTTTCTCAGTCTCATGCTCCTCGGCCAGAGAGGAGGGCAAGCCGGGAGGAAGCCGAGGCAGGCCACCTGCCCCAAACTGGCCAAAGGGCTATTCCATACCGCAGCACGTCATGCCCAGTATAGAAACTGGGGGGAGTCACCTGGAAGGCCCAGGTCGGTGCTCTGGTCGGGCTGGGTATCAGTCGGTGGGTGGTGAGCGGTTGTGTCCTCTCCCCTTGTTATTTCCCTTCTCATTATTGTTATTGGTGGTAGCAGTAGTGGTTTGTATTATACCTTAGTTACTGGACTGCTCTTATCTCAACCTGTGGGAGTTACATTCTTTTGATTCTCCCCCCCATCCCTCTAGGATCAGGGGGAGAAAGAAGGGAGGGGAGGGAGTGAGCGGCTGCGTGGTTCCAAGTTACTGGCTGGGCTTAAACCACAACACCATCTATTTGGAAAACATGGTTTATTTCCTTTTATTCTTATGCACACAAACTCTTAAAAGCTGGAAAATACCTATCACCCTTGTGATGATAGCTATGCTATTGATACTGTTAAAGAAGAGAGATTCTAGTATATTTTCATCACAGTGGTTATAATTTCACATTTACCTGCTGGAAGTTAGTAGAAATTGTTGGTTTTTTTCCAATATGAGATGTTCTTTCCTGAAGCCACTCTTAAGGTGATTGAACTGCTGTGCATGCTTTGATTAAGGTCCCTCACAAGAGAAATACTGCCAAGCAACTGGCCTATTCTGCAACAATAGTGTTTACTAGTGTTTATAACCTGACATGCCATTAATGTCGCAGAAGAGACCTCACTGTGCTGTGTTCCTCAAGGTTATTGCTTTATAGGGAAATGCAGCAGCAGACATCACCATTTTTTGGTACAATTACAGGAGAACAGATGATATTTCATACTACTCCAGAAGAGAACAGACTTGGCACACTATTTGCTAGAAGAGAAAACAACCATTCTTATGTATAATATATATATCTATACGTGTAGGAATACAACCTCGGAACAATACTGAGTTGTAAATAAATATAACCTGTGCTTATAACATGAAGAAATTTCAATATGTAATATGCAAGGCAAAATATTTCAAATGCCACTGCAAAATGCCATGTAGCAAATATATTACCTGTACTTCAGTTTTCTTTTACCTGTGTTCTTCTAATGATGACAGACTAACATTTAATATAATCTCCATGTTTACCAGGCTACACTGACTCCCTGACAGTACAACCATATAAATATGCCGAGAAAAACACATTCATCAGAGACTAAATGCCATCAATCAATTATTCCACTGCAAAGGTTTAGTTTGTATTTTTATTTAATAAAATGGAAGCAGTTATATAGAAACAGCAGTTGCACAAAAGCATGGGCTAGGGGGGGCCAGTTTCCTAAACCTACAAGGCATAACAATACTCTTCCCACCTTCAACACCCAGAAGATCCCATACTGCAGAAAGCCTAAAGGAAGAGAACTTTTAGAAATTGTACTTTACCAACAATATATGGCACCGAAAACTTAACTAATACTTGGTTTGTCCTTGTATGACTATCCTCAAGCCCGAATCTCTTCTCTGTCCCCACTTAGCACACAGGACAGAAACACTTTCCTATGGATTTGCAATAGTTTCAGTGCTAGAGAATTATTTTTCTGCCTAAACCAGGAGTTTCTAAAGTATATTCTGAGGATTCCCCCAGGTCTCTAACAGGAGAGCACCACAGAGGCATCTAGCCTTTGCAGTGGTCAGTATTGTTCCTACTACCCTTCCTAGCCTTTCATACAGCATCTTCCTCACAGCACCAGCCAAAGAACTTCATAGCCAAGCTGACAAGGCTGTCTTATTTTCAGGTACCTAGGGAAAAATGTTTTTGAGATTGACTGTTACTACTTGAAACATCATTTTTAATTCTGTATGAAGTGTGAAACTGGTGCAGTTGTAAGCAGAACATTATAAGACACCTACAGAATTAGTAATATTGAAAGTTAGACAAAACTAAAATGTTCCTTTTTTTTGTTCTGTTCTGTGCATTGCATTCTTTTGTCAGCACTATAGGCCAACTCAGTTTCCAAGTCTCAAACTTCTGTGTCTTATGACAAACGCACTGCTCTTCGCCCATGCTCTTATGGCTTTGTTTTCAGTGCCTTAACTCATGTGTACCTGCCAAAAAATCTTTTCCTCAACAGAAAGCCTTACAAGGAGTGAGCCTACAATACCATTTGCATTGGGGTCAGTAGTAGTGTTTTGAAGGTCAATAATTTATCAAGCTTTTAAGAGAGAGATTACCTTTGAGGAAAACTACACGAGAGTACGAAATCCATGAGTGCATCTAACACTAAATATACCCATGTCTAGTGGGTGTTCAAACCACAGGACCAGATTCTCAGCATTGCACAGGTAATGGGAAAGATGAAATACTCTCTTCATGCAGAAATGATCCTCTTGGGGACAGAGCACAATGGTTTCCCCAGCCTGATCTCAGATTGTCAGACTACTGCAAAAGTGGTACACTGCTGTGGTGAAAGCTCTGTGCTTCTGTCTAGGCAGTTAAACAGAAGAGCACAAGGCAACAGGCACCACCCAGAGTGAGCAATACAGGTTAGGAACATTTTCTGCTGTCTCCTGCTGCTTGCTCTTTCCCCCCCCTAATTCAATACTTAGACAAGAAATTACTATTTAAAATAAACACCTTAACTATATAAATAGCTCTGTAAGTGGAATAAGGAGAAAAAGTCATCAACTGACATTTTCGGAAGCATCATAAAAAGAAGTCAGTTTACAGAAAATAAACAGACAAAATAAAGGCTGAGCAAGGGCATGATAACACATTAGAAACAACCAAAACACAGGGAATTGTGTTTTGAATTTGTGAACTATAAACAATCTGTTTCATGAAAATATTTCAAGACTTCTAATCATCCACTTCTTGGTAATATCTGCAGGGTTGGCAGTGCTCAAGAAGTGTGGAAAACAAGGCTGCATTTCAGATACTGAGTTGTGAAGGTTATTTATTAACTCTTGAATTATTTCTTCAGTATTTTTAAGTGTATCTATTTTTATCATTTCAGCACAGTCCAGCACAATTACTACTGAAGACTAATAATTATTACCTAGTAAAACCATTCTGCATAAGCTCTCTCTGAAGTTTCTGGTCTTGAGCAGCATATTCCTGAAGTTCAGACTCCACAGCAGGTGGCAGAATATTTGGGATGAATTTAGAAAATAAAGCTGGTGCCATCTGTACCCATTCTGTAAGAAGAGGGGAAGCAACAACAAAACATGTGGAAAAGACCTTTTGTGAAAATTGTACTCTTGGACAAACGTAACTTTGTTCTACTTTAAATACAATTTAGCATCTTGAATTTAAGCAAAGAAATAAAACCCACCCAAAAAACTCCAAACCATCCCCAAACTCCACAGAAACCAAGCCTTAAAGCAGAACCATGAGACTTAAAATCATAGAATCATTGTAGATAAAGGAATTACTATTTGTCACCAACCTCATCATCAAATTGAAATTCAGTTCTTGCTGCATCTCACAGGTCCTGCTGAGTCTCTGGACTCTCCTTGATACAAGTTTGATCATCAACTCACCTTGATAATCAGCTCATTTGTAACACTTTAGACTGGGAAATGTATTCACAAAACTTACACCGGTCTTCCCTGAGCCTTACTTCTAGAGACCACACTAATGTCACCATATAACCCTGTATCTCCATCCCTCATTTCAAATGAATTAATGCAATTCTCTCCCCGATCTTCCAAGGCTTAGAGGAACACTTTTCCAATGTTCATTATGTAATTTTAACCTCTACTAGTTCAGCTTCAGGATAGAAATGTGATTTAATTTCACTACACCGAACACTGCCTTACCAGAGCAGGACAGTTTACCTTAAAGTTGCTTCAAGGCTGATTATATGCAACACAGAATGAGTCAAGGATAAAAATTGGGTTTCTAGCAACTGTTCTGAGAAAAATAAATACTTCTGGAGTATTTCTGAAGCCAGGCTTCCCAGAGATTACAGCAGTTACCTTAAACTCCATCTTTATTTGGAAAAAAGGGATGCTATTAAATACATTCACTAAGGCACATGATAAGTTTTTACCCAATTCCCACATGTATACGTGGTCAATGCCAAGCTTCAGCCTTCACTCTAACTGGCAAACTCACTAATCATTATTAGTGTACAGGGGGCTTAAACAAAAAACAATGCACTAAACCCCCTCATTACAGAATAGTTTAGGTTGGGAAAGACCTTTAAGATCATCAAGTCCAACCATTAACCCAGAAGTGCCAAGTCCATCACTAAACCAGGTCCTTAAGTGCCACAGCTACACATCTGCTAAACGCCGCCAGGGATGGTGACTCAACCACTTCCCCGGGCAGCCTGTTCCAACACTCAACAACCCTTTTGGTGAAGAAATTTTTCCTAATGACCAATCTTTGGGTTCAGCCACCCAGAGAGTTTTACCCAGCAAAGACCACAGCCATCCAAACCATGAGCAGCCAGTTTCTCCCGGAGAATGCTGTGGGTAACAAGTATCAAAGCCTTTACTGAAGCCTAGGTAGACAACATCCACAGCCTTTCCCTCATCACTAAGTGGGTCACCTTGTTACAGAAGGAGATCAGGTTAGTCAAGCAGGACCTGCCTTTCATAAACTCATGCTGACTGGGCCTGACCTCTGGTTGTTCTGTATATGCTGTGTGATGGTACTTGAGATCATCTGCTCCATGACCTTCCTCAGCACCAAGGTGAGGCTGTCAGGCCTGTAGCTCCCCACATAAAAAAAAACAAAAGCAAAACCAAAGCAACAAAACCCCCAAATTCTACAGACATGAAACAACATTCTTCAGCTTATGAAATACAGGAAAAAGGTACCATGTAGAATGTGTTGCCTACTAAAGACTGAATAATTCAGCCAAACTAGTAAACTGACTTGGAATTCACAACATGAAATACTGTGGTAGGATATTTTATGCTATTGCTAGATCATTATAGGTGAGGTGAAAAGAGTATTTCAAACTAAATCCAAGTGGGCCAACTAGTGCCTAAGCATTCCCAGGCTCCAGTGTTTTCTACTGCAGACACCATGTGCTGGAGCTAGGATTAGAAGACAGCCTTTTCTGGCAACATTTGAAATCTAACAGCTGTCAAGTACTTTCTGCCTGAAGAGAAAATCATTGAAGAGAAAGCCCACCACCAGCCACATCAGCATTATTTTCCCTTTTGCTTTCTGCACTGCCTGAGCAGGCACTTCCCAGTGCTGCTCTACTCCCGCAGCAAATCCCACTAGCCACGTTTTCTGCTTTACTTCACCAGTTATCTGCTCACCAGACCAACAACACATCCACTGGAGCAAGTCCCACAGAATAAGTAGAAAAGCATGGCCTCAGAGAAACTCTTGTCCTGATTGTTTCAGAATTCATCCTCAAGAACCAGCACCACCAAACAACCTTTTACATTGGGAAGTCTACCCCATGCTCTTCTGGTTGGAATGAGGCTGAGAAGTTTGAGAAGCAAGTAATTAGAGCAAATATGTATCTGTTTAAATAATAGCTCAAAAGTCAACTCTTGAGTCTTCCTACCAGCTGTGGAAAGCAGGTATCACACATTGTAGGAAAACTTTTTATACTTAAATATATTACAGACATAAGACAACTATTCAAAACCTGATTAGGCCCATAGTACCAACTCAAACCAGTATCTGTTGTGTTGTGAAGCAGGCAACACAACAGCGATTATCTGAACTGGAAAACTGGGAAATCACAACTCCATCACCTACAGCATTAAGGGCAGTACAAGAAAACCATGCTGAGCTGCTTTCAAAAGGATTATACTTTTATATTTATGTAAACACCTTTCATTTCTTTGGTACTGAACAGTTCACAAACATGAAATCAGTATGGCCTTAAAAATGATGGTACAATGTTAATTTTGCTGTAAAAATAATCCTTGCTTACTGAAAGTGCTTTATCCATGCAGTCTGTAAATGGGAGGGTCCACCCCATTCCTGGCTTGCATACAGGCACTAAAGCCTTTTGTAAAGCTTTCCCATCCTCATTTCTCTATCAACCAAAGTACAACAGACTTATAGAAGCACTTCTTTTTTACCTGGTCGTAGTGTATACAGGCCTTTCACAATATTTGCCATGGTTGAAGGAGTTATTTGAAACGGCGTTGACTGAGCTTCCAAAAGTAAAGCTGAAATAAAATTAAGAGAATTATTAGTTACTCTAATCAAGAAATACAGGCACTTACATATGCATTTTTGGATCAAAGAGAAACAGTGGTTGTGCTGGTTTTGCTTTCTTATGTTCTCACAAAGGCATCAGGTATATAACTGACAACTTGATTCTCAAAAGCAATAAAACATCACCTTTAATAGAAGTATTCTGCCCAAATTGCATATGATGAAAATGGGAAATAACTTATCTATCATCCATTTTCAGACAGGCAGCAGGAGTTGTAAGAGAAAACCAAGCAAGTGATGGCTCTAAGTATTCAGATGCAGAACTGAAGTAAACAATTTATTTTTAGAAGCACGCTCATACTGCGTGTGCCAAACACCTGGAGATTCACAAATCCTTGCTTTACAGTACTTAGAATCTTGTACAGAGAACTAAGGATGACTGGAAGTCTACAAACAGGGTACAAGCAGTATAAAAAATAATATGTAAAAATCAAAGAAGAAAAGTGATTCTCTTAAACACAAGTGAACATTTTTATTTCATTCCTGGCATCTTCTGTAGTAAACATTGCAATAATTGCATTTTCCTCTTGGGGAAAAACCTGGCAATAGCACATTTACTGTTTATATTACAATATACAGGCCTTTACCCTGCTTTGTAGTTATTTAAGGTTTATATTTATATCTGAATTATAGAAACACCAAGGAGAAAATAAATAAGTAAGGTTAAACAAACTGCTGCCTCTCAGTTTTTATTCCTCTACAAAGGAGTTAAGCAACATACACACCTTTTTGTACCCATTACATAGAGGAGAAATGACTCTTACACTCTACCTAAAGGGCGTATCTCTGTGCTTACATTGTACAGACTCTGCTTTTTAAGCTTCAGAGCATCTACAGATCTCGCTCCAGCATCTGCCACTACAGGATTTGCCATGAAATGAAAAACCTTCAGTAGCATGTTCTTTTCTTTCTGACACTGTCTAAGTGGCTCATGTAATAGGGAGATTAAAAAACAAAGAGTTTTTTCTAACCTCCAAGTAATCAGAGTCGTTATATTTAACTGTTGCAGATGAATTTATTTTATAAAGAACCATCTTACAAGCACTTGCTCATTTCAGCTGAAGCCTTGAGGGGGTAAGAGCCTCTGATTTGTTTTGTAATGACTTATTTACAGCCTATTTCCTAAGCAGTTTTTCAAAGAGCCCCCTGGCAACCAAGAAAGTTGCAAATCATAAAATTAAAAAGGGTATAATGCTTTATAAGGAAGATAAGCAACAGTAACAGACACTCCAAACAATGTGTATGTATATATATTTAATTAGACTGAAGCTACTTCAGCCCAAGTTTTACCAACAGATTTGCAGTGTCCAGAGAATTGTAAATTTGTTCTTCAGATATAGACATCAAATTATATTCCTAAAATATGTATAGCCAATGATTTTAAACAAAATAAGCCTAGGAATTAACACTGACATACAAAGCACAAAGTCCAGAGATAGAAGTCACTTGAATATTTGGTAAGAAAATTAAAGTAACATAGCTTTTTGAATATAATCCTCAGACAGAAAATTGTAGTTTCACTAGTTACAACTAGCAAAAGCAATTAAAAAGTATTTCAGAAGCTACTTTATGTAACTGTGTCTGTAAAAGGACATACTGTGGGAGAAAAATAATGCTATTCAGAGTTTTCTTCCCTTCCAGCTAACGGAAACCCCCACCAGTGGTGCCTTAACACAATCAAGGTGTTGATGAATTATTTCTACAAGCAATAGTTTAAAAGGATAGTCCACAACTTGAGTATAGTTCACCATTACAAACATGCAACATTACTTGTCGCTTTGGTTAAGGTAAAATTCACCCGTGAAGCTCATTTCAACTGTGATCCTTTGAGGTAATGTAAACAGATATATTTGCAATGTAAAGCACCTATAATAAGCAGCCACTTGTTTCCGTTCCAGATTATTGACCACATTACCTAGCATTAGAAAGGGATTTCATGATTAAAATCAGTGGAAGGATTCACAACGCAAATTTTAAACCACTCCCCGACTACAGCCAAATACAAGCATGATGGCATTAAATTCAACAACACTATAACAAAGTAATGGCATATATTTCCTATTTCTCAATAAAGGAAAGTGAAAGAATATACTATTCATTAAACCATAATCCAGCCTACACTTTTTCTAAAAGCTAGATATCAATACTTGATAGAAATAGCACTTCTGTAGGATATGCCTTTTCAGAATGATTTCCATAAGAATGAAAAGGCTCCTCTCTTCGGATAGATCCAAAAATCTCAATTCAGGTTTACAGTCAAAGACATAAATAGATGGAAGATGTCAAACTTCACCTTCGGTTTTGCAATGAAACCTAAAGATTCATTCCTGGATTACTTCTCAAGAGAGGGTCACTTAAAATAGGAACAACTGTGCCAGACATGCTGAAGTTACCTCTGTTGTTATTTTACCATCTCATGAAAGACCTCCAAATATTAAGGCTTTGGCTCTTGCTTTATTAGAACAATTAAGACAAGACAGAAATTGCACAGACTCCTTTACCTACTCCCAGAAGCTCCAATAAAACTAAGCCTCAGATGACTGACAGCAGTACCGACGCTGTGATACTATCTGACCACCTCCCCACTGTTTGTGAGCTAATACTGCATTTTACAGACTAAGTAACCAATATGCAAAGAAGTTAATTAACCTGAAAATAGCCTTGAAAGCAACTCATGGCAGAATCAAAGAAAAGCGTGGGTTCCCAAGCTGAAATGTTTTAATTCAGAAAGATATAAGATGCTTTGAAATATTGCTGAACCAAGGTAAGACACAATACCCAGACCAACCTCAGGATTCTTGTGAGTTATGGTGGATGAACTATATTGGAGGAAGTGACGTAGGAACCTGCAGCACTTCAGGTACTCCGCAGTAACTAAGTTACTCCATTATTACACAGTAACACTGGAGATGCTTGTCCCTCAACGAAGCTTTAAGCTATCCTGTAATTACAGTGGGGTATGAGGGGCAAGATCTGGGACCTCAATAATTCCAGGAGTAGCAGATGATATCTCAAGTTCAAAATCACTAGTTCGTAACTCAAAGTTCACTTGCAAAACCTAAGAGTTACCCATCCTAAAGATCCTTTTCTATCCTTCAACATTCCTTTAAACCAGATCTATTTTGCATGGCAGAAGACTGAAACTTTTTACATGTTAGCATGCAAGATTTTTTCCTCCCTTTCCAAGTAATCCAATAGAACTTCAAACTAAGATATTTTAACAAATCATACCTAAGCATGGCTTAGGCAGATGTGTTCAAAGTTGCAGTTACTCAAGGATGCACTTAAATATAAAGTGTATTCCCATTAAAAGCAACTCCAACAGCTTCCACAACTAAGGCGTTGGCCAGCTGCTGCTCTCCAGTCAACTGAAGCAGAACCGATTGCTTAATGAAGCTGCAAAGTAGAACGAATGCATTCTGCAGATCTTTATCCCATTGTACAAACTGTGCTCTTTAGTACCTATTTCTAGTATGCAATATTTATATTCTTTTGCAGAACAGTAACATTTCCACAGAACTTGAACCCTTACATAACTGTACGTGAGCCACACCTGAGCCTTCCAGATTGGTTGGGTTTGTTCTAGGCTTTTTTGGGGGGGGCTGTGCTTTTTTGGGGGTATGTCATTCTTTGGAGTTTGGGAGTTGTTGGCTTTTTTTTTTACGTGCTGCCTACTTTATTATTAAATGGACTGATCATTTCATTACTTTAACTGAGATACAATTTGTACATGTTAACTTCAACAGCCTTTATATGAAAGCCAAGCTTCCCTCTGGTTTAACCCTCACATTTGCACTAACACCAAACTTCTGTATTTTTATTTTCCTTTAAACAGAACTAAACCCAGATTTTTAGCAACTTAACTTCTTCAAAAGCTTGTAATGAATTGAAATGTGGATTAGAAAAAAAGACTTAAAATGTTGTGTTTATTACTAAGCATTTGCCAGTAGGAATTTCATAGAGCCACAGATTACATTTAAAATATTCATTGCATAGCCCAAAAGCTTTATTAAGTATCTAATGAAAATGCTACAAAATAAAAATCCCAAAGCTTTAATCACATGGAAAATACCCTGTGTCATTAGAAGAATAAATATGAAAAACAAAGCTATAAATGTAGAAATATATACTTTTGGATTTCTATAATTGGAAAATAAGGTGATACTTTTCTGTTTGCAATTTTATGTTAAGGCTTATTGAAATGGGAACATTATTCCTATTCATTTAACAAGGAACCAGATTAAACATGACAGTCATTACTTCAGACTGTATTTTCCAATGAGAAAATTCCCTTACTTTGAAGGTGCTGCAACTTAATCAACATGAAACATGGAAAAATAAGAAATGCAACTTCAACTTTTTAAAATAGCCTAGTTCTTTGGTGGAAAGTTAGTTCAGTGATAAAATTTGCGTATAGATTAAGTGTTATTTAAAGAATTTGGGCATATTCTGTTATACTTGGTAATAATACATACTATTTCCAATATGGCTACAATACAATTACTTAGCCCTTAGCTGACAAATTACAACTAGCACTTCAGTATTAGCGATACCACCCCGGGGCAGCTTGTTATTCTTGATTATTCCATCAGGTCTGCAGAGCACGGAGGGTTTAAGAAAGATTAATAGCTACACAAGGAATATCCCATACAGCCCTTGAGAGTGTGCGTGGGACCTGCTGAGGTCTAAGAATAGACTGACATTAAGGTGACAATTCAGTGTTTCAAAGAAAGAGGAATGGTCAATGCAGCATCCCAGCGGAGTCCCCATATGCTGGAAAAGAATTGGAATATGCTGCAGTTGATTTTCACTATCAGTTAGCTGTGTCTACCAATATTTGGAAGGAAGACAGGAAGGAAGGAGAAGAAGGAAAGTATTTTTTAGGGTTAAAATTGGGAACTTGAAGTGGAGGCGGTAACATTAACCTATTCGCCTACACAGAATAAGCCAG